CCCTATATTTAACTTTTCAGTGAAATGGTTACCCCTATGTAAATGAATTTAAAAATTTTGACCCAGAAAATTATATTTCTTTACAGGAAATGATAAAATCCTAGAAGACTAGGTATCTTCTTCTAAAATGTTGAAGTGTAGCTTTCAGACACTGTGTGGGTTTTAAATATAGAATCCTAATTTCTGCAGTTCATTCTTCTTGTTTTCATTTATTAAAAATATAAAGTGAAGTGCCATTATAAATGGTTATGTTGTTTTTTAACCCTTAGTATGAACATGTGAGATAGGTATTATTTTCTCCTTTTTATAGGTTAGCAAATTGATGCTTAGTAGAATTAAGTAACATGTTGAAGGTCAAATAGCTCACAAATTATACAAAGAGTATTCAAAGTCATATCTGTTGCTTCCAAGCCAAGAGTCTTTAAGCATAGGATTACCCTGACTCACTGCTTAAATCATCCAAACTGCCTTTCCTTATCTTCTCAAATGTCTTTGAACAAAATATCCATCTTTACATGATCACTAATAGTCTTTAAAACAAGTGCCATTAATGAAAATAGGATAAAAGTATAATGGCTAATATTATGATAAGAAACTAAAATGATTTTAATGTAATAATAAATCAATAGATATGATTTATTTTTTACCTTGACATTTGCTTTAAATAGCCAAGTATGATATTTTCTATGTACACAAGGTCAATTTTATGAAGTCATGGGGTTTCATTTATCTAGTATTAAATCATTTCCTGATACGGCAGCCTAGCTCTATACTGCTCTGTCTAAAAGAGTCTCAATTTCTAAAATAGATGTTTTCTTTGTAAAGTAATGAGGCAGATTTCCAGGTTAGGTGGTAAATCTGTTCTAGATATCTCCATGTGATCCTTCTCATAACCAGCTGAGCTTCCATATCCTCATCTAAAAAGGAACATTCATGTCTATCCTTATTGTTGTGGCAAGGATTAAATAATATACTGAGAGTTAAAGTGGCAAGCATGGTATTTAACATATAGAATGCACCCAAGAAATCTAAATTGAATTTGAGCATTGTGATTTAGCCAGAGTTCTTACAATTCAAGGTGTGTGTTTGTCATTCATCCATTATATGCAAGACTAAACAAAAACTATTACAATCTGGAAATTATTCACCTGTTTATTTTTTTTCCTTCTTTAGGTGCCTTTCCTAATACTCTGAGAGAAGCTAAAGTAGAAGTTATAAGCAATGATGTATGTAATCGGGTTGATGTATATGGTGGTGCTGTGTCATCAGGAATGATATGTGCTGGATACTTGATTGGAGGACAGGATGCTTGTGAGGTAAGGATAGACTAAAATACACATTTTTTTTTTTTCTTAAGTAGATATTACCTTACTGAACACAGGCCAATATCATTACATATGACT